TTGACTATATTATGTTACGTATAATTATAGAGGATATGGAAAAATGGAGGACACAGAAGATTGACTATATTATGTTACGTATAATTATAGAGGATATGGAAAAATGGAAGACACAGAAGATTGACTATATTATGTTATGTATAATCACAGATAACATGGAAAAATGGAGGACACAGAAGATTGACTATATTATGTTTATAATATAGTCAATCTTCTGTGTCTTCCATTTACCATATCCTCTATAATTATACGTAACATAATATAGTCAATCTTCTGTGTCTTCCATTTACCATATCCTCTATAATTATACGTCGAGCTAGTAGATTCCCACTACTCTTAAGTCTTGTTAAAATTATATCTTTATCTATTTCATAAAATATGAGAAAAGTAATTAGGAATATCAAGTATTTTAACTTTCCGTAGCGTAATAAATTTAAAAATTATACTTTGATGGGGGTTTTTTTACCACATTAATTACCCCTTCGCTTAATCTCAATATGTTAATTAATAATATAAAGTAATAAGTTATATAAATCATCTAAGCAAACAAAGATTAGGCTTAGAACTAATACGCTTCAATGAAACCACAAATCAACTTCAATAGTGTCTGTGAAATTATTATTTTTCTTTCAACGGGGGGCACCTTTATTGTTAAATATGAATAAAACAGGTGTGTGTCATAGAAGCCAAGATCTTTGAGCATATGTGCGTAGGGCTCCAGTTGATATTTTTTTTCATATAGTTATTGATCGATCGATCGATAGATAGGCAGATACATCAATCAAACTTTGACCACGTGTCTGCTCACGGAGGACTTTTTGTGCCACAAAGATAGATAAACACATGTGAAGTTTTTTTTATCTTTCTGATATTACGATTCAGATTTCGAAAATTTTGTTTTCTTCTTTTATGCTCGAATTATTCTATCAGTTCCACCAAAGAGAGAGAGAGAGAGAAATAGTCTATATGGATATTTTTAAAGTTTAGTTAATGACGTGATACACATTGCATGTTTTATTTTTAAATGCACTGTATATACCTCAGCCAAAGAAAATCTTAGT